GTTTAGGGTTTAGGGCAAAGGGTTTAGGGTTTAGGGTTTAGGGTTTAGGGTTTAGGGTTTAGGGTTTAGTATTTAAGCTAGAGATTTAGCTACTTTGGCTTCAATAGCACAACAATGCAGGCTTTTTAGCACCCGTAGCTTTTCCAGTCTAGCGAGACGATTCGAGGAAGCTCGAGATGTTCTAGCGAGCTCACATGTAGCATATTGCATAAAAGGTGCCTTGCCAGACATGTCGGTGCAAAGAGTCCTAACACTACATGGTTCATTCCACAGATCGCAACAGTACGGGACTATGGCTAGCTAAGTGCTACACCATTAGACTGCAAGGCTTCCACCGGTGCAATTCACCAAACGATTGCACTTATTGTCAAAATGCATGGGCGGATGCCCCGACTCAGGATCGCTTCTTCTTCGTCGGCTTGTCGTCCTTGCCAGCAGACCTTTTGTTTGCAGGCTTCGACTCGTCGTCGTTCTTCTTCTCGCCCGTCGCCTTTGGCGTGCCCTTTGTCTTCGGCGATTTTTTCTTCCCACCCTTGGTCTTAGCCGTTTTTCCCCCTCGGCTCGACGGTGTCGCCCCAAGATTCGTGCTGCTGCTCGGCCGGAAGCTCCTAGGCTTGTTCGTGGATACACGTCAGAAATACCCACTCATGCCATCAAGGATCCAGACACACGGACACAGACACCCAACACATAAGTGCACATCGAGATTCCTGGATCTGGAAATATAGTTATTTAATGTTACGTCTGTCTTGGTACACGAGACGAATGTGTCCAGGATCTCGTTCTTGAGCTGCGGCGTTTTCCTGGGTTTAGGGTTTAGGAATAAATGTAGGGAATAGGGTTTAGGGCTTTGGGTTTAGGGCTCGGGCGGGCTGAGTGCATGTAAAATTGAATTCAGGAATCGAGCCATCCAGGTCTCCCACAGATTCAGCCTCCTTCTCAGCCAAGTTTTTGTAAAGATTGTTCATCTGATCCAGGAGGGTCTGCATATGGTCGGCAATCCTGGGCTATGACACAATATATATATATATATATATAGTAGTCCTGAAACAATGGCAAACCACAGAACCTGCAATCGAGACCAGCTGCTCCGTTGCCCGTGGGTTATTCATCTTCTTCAGCTTCTCCTAATGCAAACAGCTAACTCAGCTAAGTACTACTTATGTACATCTCATGGCGTCTGGGCTTTTGCTGTGGGGTTTAGTTACAGCACACTATGTCCTGCTCGAGACATCCATTCTCGATCTTCTTTCCCAAGACCACGAGAAAGCTTGGGAGGGTCGCCAAGGGGTTGTCGTTCTTTCGGATCGTCGGGAACACATGCCTGGCCGAAAACACATTGAATATCTCGCAACGACGGAATTACTTCACCAAATCCACAAATTTCGAAACCCCTCGCCCCGAAACCTTGCAGGACGGACGGCCTGCTCTTGGATGAGGGGGCACCATCCGAAGGCTTGTGCACGATGTCGTCGGCTTCGGCACCGGGAACATCATCGTCCATAATATAGCCGTCTTCATCCTGCGTAACTATGTTCATCTAGTTGGCCGGATTGCCTATAGCTACCCAGGATAACATCTTAAGATATCCTAGCCTTCGGCTGCAGGGTTTCTGCTTGAACTAGATATTAAGGCTAGATACGTGAGCCTCATATAGGGGCTAGTGTGGCGATTAGATTTCTGGGGACAATTGTTGCTGGGATAATGGGGCCTCGACTTCGCCTTCAGCAGACATAGTCTTCTTGGATCCTCGTTCGGTGCGGTTCACAAACTTCTCTTCGATGATCAGTTTGGCCTCCTCGGTCTTATGCACTTCGTTTGTTCTCAGCCTGCCTTTGCTCGCTGCCCAGGCAAAGCTGTTGTCTGCCATCTGCCTAGGACATGGGCTCGGATAATGCGGTTTAGAGTCGGGGTGTAGGGTCTATAAGAGCTAAATTATCTAGATATGTTGGCAGGAAAGTCACTTGGTGTAATGGCACTTTTCCATCAAGTACTACTTCGTCACCCACATAGCATTGCTTTCGGCGGCGTGCTGGTTCAGCACATACTTCTGCACTAAGACATCGATCTTCTTCCAATCATTGTGTTTCTCGAAAAGGTCTCGGAGCTTCTTCCCTCGGATCATTATATAATATAGAGATAACTTATCAAAGTTTTTTTGCAGGGAGGCACACAACAGAACCCAACTCCATGTCAGCTAGGAACTCCCATCCTCAGTGGCGTAGAGACTCAAGGCTTCCTTGGAGGCCTTGACCGGCCCAGTCGCGGGCTTGAAGACTCGTCTCATCCTGGGATTAGATCTGGGCTTTTGGGTTTAGAATATAGGATTTATTAAGGGTTTAGAACTTTGAAGGTTTCGGGTCTAGGATATTTGGGCCTTAGGGTTTTGGGTGTATAAAGTTTCTAGGCTTCTAGGGTTTATAGGGTTTAAGGCTGTTGAGGTCTTGGGGCTAAGGGTGTTTAAGGTTTAGGGATTTAGGGTTTGTGGTTTTGAGAGCTTAGGGACCTTGTTGTGTGCCGTGGCTCCGGTAGTAGGTCTTGTCGAACTTCTCACGGCTGTATTTCTTCGGCTTGTGGCTTTTGTGGGTTCGAGGCGAGAGGGTCTTCTTACTGCGGGGGCCAGAGGAGGGGGTGGCCGTATTCGTGGTTGCGGATGTTGGAGAGTAACCCAAAGGAATCGACTCCACATCCGACCTGTGCTTCTGGCCAGGTGGACTCTTCTCGGCGTGGTCCGACTGAGGCTTGTCTAGTGGGGTGTTGGGCAAGGTCGCACAATACCTCCAAGCACTATCGAAGCTGGATCCTCGAGTAGCTTCCGGGACTGCTTCCTTAGAGGAAACTTCGGGGGCTGCTTGCTTCGGGTTCTCATGTGGTGCTGCTGCGGAAACTTCGGAGGCTGCTGCTTGCTCCGGGTTCACGGCTGCGGAAACTTTCGGGGCTGCTTGCTTCGGGTTCCCGGCCGGTGCTGCTGTGGAAACTTTCGGGGCTGCACCTGCTTGCTTCGGGTTCCTGGGTGGTGCTGCTGTGGAAACTTTCGGGCCTTCTGCTGCTTGCTTCGGGTTCACGACTGGTGCTGTTGCGGAAACTTTGGGGCCTGCTGCTTGCTTCGGGTTCACGACTGGTGCTGCGGAAACTTTGGGGGCTGCTGCTTGCTGCGGGTCCACGGCTGGTGCTCCTGTGGAAACCGTCGGGGCTTCTGCTTGCTTCGGATCCACACGTGGTCTTCCTGTGGAAACTTTCGGGGCTGTTGCTGCCTGCTTCGGGTCCACACTTGGTGCTCCTGTAGAAACTTTCGGGGCAGCGAGTGCGGGAACTTCGGGACCAGAGGGTGGTGCTCCATGATGAACCGCTGAACCTGACCAACACATGGGCCCGAACAGTTCGCTTACATTCTGACACCTGAAGCCCAAAGCACCTCGAGCCGGAGGTGCAGATGCTGATCTGCCGACCTTGTTCTTCAAGGCTTCGATCCGTCGGCGGGTCGCCTCAGACAGCCCACTCGTGGGCTTAGGGTTTAGAAGCATAGGTTTAGGATTTGCTAGGATTTATGGTCCAGGGAGCCTAGGGCTTAGTAGGGATTAGGGTTTGGGGTTAAGGTAATTTAACTTCTAGAGGAAAGGGTTTCTGATGGGGCAAATCCGGGTTTACGGTTCGATGGAATATATTAGTTTAGTTGGGTTCTGCCCTCCCAGCCACGATACTAAAGATGTAATTTCAAACTTGGCACCGGGTGCTATATTGTGTATATATATATATATATATATTAGTACATGGTTCATAGTCATATACACTAGTATATTATATAACAACCTATCAATAGGTACCTAGGCCTATTTGAATATATATATATATACATAGATATTGCACAAAATACTTCCTCGAAAGGATACAGGAGATCCTGTCATTCTATGTAAGCTATGTGCATGTGTATATATATATATATATGCATATTTAATATTATATATATATATAAATAGAGCGATGTTATATATAGAGCTGTCTATATGTCTATGTATGGGCTAGATACATGGGTTTAAGAAAGGAATCCAGGATACGGCTTCGAAGCTAAGACTAAACCAGAAACAGCCTAGATAGCAAAAACCGAGACCGTGCAATCCAGCTGCTTCGATTTGCTCTTCCAAGCTCATCTTGTCCATGATGGGAATGCCCGACTATTAATAAAGATCTAGTGGCTTTCGAGCACTCAAAACCCTGATGAGCACATATACAGCTTCCAAAAGAGCACTGGCTGCTCTATAAACGCCCGAGAGACCTGAAACGGAAGCGATCTTTAAAAGCTCACGATACATTTTTTTTATTTGCGCCTGTTTGCGTTTATTTGCGGCGATTTGCGCCCAATTGGCGCCGAATTGCGTTACGTGAGTTTTGGCTCTAAATCCATTAGAGCCAACAAAAGCTGAAAAAAACGCTCCAAAAGCGTTCGGCTGCTAAAAGCCCTTTCCAGGTCCTGACTGGCACCAATATTCAGAACCGGGGAGGGCTGCACCAAGTCCTGAGCATTTTTGGGCTGAGTTCAGGGTTTCCTATTGTAGCAAGAGGACGGGGCCCGGCTGCCGGCTCGGGCTCGGGCTGACTTCAGGGTTTCCTATTGTAGCAAGAGGACGGGGCCTGGCTCCGGCTCAGGGTTCCTATCTGGGGCCCAAGGGATTCCTATAGCAAAGAGGACCCGGGGCTGGGGTCCACGAGGCCTAGGTTCGGGTTTCTCGGCTGGGGGCTCGTATTCTAGAAAGAAGGACTTCTAATCTTATATAATAGAGAACCCTAGGCTGGGGTCCGGGTTCCGTATGAACGGATTCCGGCAAAGTTCCTGTACGTGCGATATGATTGCATGGGTTGGTCTCCTAGGAGGACTCTGCCTGGTTGGGGTTTGGGTTGGGCTACGGTTTCTGTTCTACATCTATTGATCTATATCTATCTATACGATCTATCTTTCTATCTAGCTATCTATCTCATATATATATATATATATATGATTGGGCCTGGGACTCGAGTCTCACGATAAAAGACTGGGCCCAGGGCCCTGGGGCTAGCTCCTAAGGACTACACAAGGACTGGGGTTTACTATATAAATAAGGTAATTAACCCTATCTATCAGCGATCTAAAGACAAATTAACTAGCTAGCTGGCTATCCCACGAAGTAAACAAGGAAGCTTAGCAGTTAGAGTTTAGGGTTGGTTGGTTGGTTGATTGGTTGATAATGGATACTTACTTTCTTAGGTGGCTAGCTAGGTAGCTAGCTAGTTATTTAGCTATTTAAGTAGGGGTGAGCAACAAAGCTAGTATCAGATATGGTTCGGGGCCTATCTTTTCTCAGTTCTGCTAGAGGACCAAGTGTAGCCTGAAAGGGCCTTGGGGTTGGGGGCCAGGGTCTTCGAGCGATTGGGCCATTGAAGATTGAGTGTAAGATTTGATTTTCGGTGCAATTGTGGTATGCTGGCTTGAGGGTAGGTTGTGACGGAAGATTAATTTTTGTGCCTCAAGGCAGATCTCCCCTAAAGCAGAAGATCTTAGGATTGGATTAGTTTAAAGCTACTCCACACCAGAGAGTCAAAATTACTGCTTGCCAAATAACCCTCTTGTGAAAGCTCAGAACTCTCTAGCTACAGCCACCAAACAATCTTCGGCCCAAAACCCCGATTAAGCATCGCCCTTAGAATTTGACAATTGCCCTCATATAGACAAAGCCTTCTGCTTGGAGGACAATATAAACCACACGGTGTAAGTTCTTAGGTATAATCACATAAAACAAAATCTAGCTATTAATTTAGAACCTACAGAACTAAGTACCATGCGTGTATGGGTATATATGTATGTATGTATATATATATATATGTATGTATATATATATATATATATATACGTGGTGTAAAATATCTGTCGAGTATAACCACCCCTAACCGTGTATAAGATATACGTATATATATATATATACATATATATATATATATATATATACGTATAATTAAGTGTAGAGGCCTCCGACCTCGCCCAGCATCCTCTTGTGGAAAGCAGAAGAGCCAACAAGCCAGGTCACCTGAGTGCGAAAAACCACCCAGCTCCAAACGAGAAGTTAGGAGCCCTTGGCCGTACAAGCCCCAGGCCCCAAGCCCCAAACCTGTTTTTTCAAACACTCGCGACGACAGATGCTACAAGCCCTGCAAAGCCCGAAACCCATAAATCCTTCAAACAGCCTGCGACTTCAACCCTGGCAGGAATCCGGAGCTTACATCTTCGAGGAGGCATCACTCTTCCAGGTTTCCTTCCATAGCCTAGACGATCCTATAATGGGTGCAGTCCAGTTGCTGTACCTCACCATAAGACCCGAAACTGGCATCCAGCAGTAGTGAAAAAATCGGTGAGGTTCGTGGCCAAGAGGTTCACCCTAGCACTGAGTCGCCCGTACAAGGAGGCGTGCTTGTCCAGAACGGCACAGCCCTGTTCTAGCCTCTGCTCGATAGATCGTAGTCTAGCATGAACCCGGGCCAGTTCGGTTCGAACAGCTGAGCACTCAGCACGGAGCTCTGCAACTTGCTCGTGTAGCCGATGATTTTCCAAAGTCAAAGCAACGACTCTAGACTCTTCCATGAACGATTCGGCGTGAGGATTTTCGGGCTGTCAGTTGTGGATGCAGAGACTTGGGTTTGGGGCTTTGAGGTTGTCAGAGTTTATTCTCCAATAGAGATGGGCTTAGACAGTATGCAAACTCCCGGGGCTCGAGCAGCTGGTTTTGGGGCACTGGCGATACGATTGCATTCGCACATGGCAGACTAATCTATGAGCCCCATAGGTTTACTTATGCGGTTCACAGGCTGACTACTTTGGTGTATGGCCTAGGATGCATTAGCCGGGGTCTGGATTCTAGATCAAGGAGGCTTTCAACCCTGTTCCACATGCCCTTTCGAGTGTCGCAGTCGTCTAGAATCAACATCCCCCATAGGAGTGCACGTCATCTAGATAGTCATTAGTTGTCTTCCTCCCCTTATAAAGAATAGAGTACCCTTCTAAGAGCCCTAGACATAAGCATGATCGTCAAAAGCATCATCATCGATCGTCATCATCAATCATCATCATCATCATCGTCATCAATCATCATCATCAATCATCATCATCATCATCCATCATCCATGATCATCATCAATCATCATCATCATCATCCATCATCCATGATCATCATCAATCATCATGATCATCGTCCATCATCCATCATCATCATCAATCATCATGATCAAGCATCATCATCATCAATCAATCAATCATCATCATCAATCATTCATCAATCATCATCATCATCATCATCAATCATCATCATTCATCATCATCAATCATCATCATCAATCATTCATCAATCATCATCATCATTCATCATCAATCATCTCGAGAACTACCAAGCAGCATTATCATCATGCATCATCACAATAACAACTTTCATCTGCACTATCCTCATCGTTATCCTTCTCCTGAGACCAAACCCCACACCCCTCTGAAACCTCTAGTTTCAAGCAAACCCCGGTTTAGGGTTTAGGGTTTAGGGTTTAGAAAGTTTAGGGTTTAGGGTTCCCCAGCCCCGGAAGCATACGTAAGTCATGCAAGCACGGCAGGGCGGTGACCTGCTGTGCCTAGTGCCGATGCTCGGGCGGCCCAGCCCTCAACTCTGGCGGGCATCCAACTTCACCTGACGAGGGGCTTAAGGGGATCGGAGTTTGTATGGATATGTGCAGAGGCAGGCTTCAGGATGCAGTTCAAGTCTGTTTTCACAAGTGCCGGCCGGCTGCGTGTCTGCGAAGCAGAAGACTGCATGACATGACATCGTGAAGAACCCGCTGTACTAAGCTCGTTCGTGTTCGCACGAATGAGCAAAGCGGGACCACATGGCATTGTATCCCTCGCACATAGCTAGCCGTATGTGCAGTGGCCCAATCAAAAGTCTCATCTAGGCAGCAGTTTCGGCACATAAAGCTCAATAGATCTTGAAATCATGACAGCACTGCACGATCTCCCCCGTGAGGCCGGTTCGTCGTCAGCTCCACGTAGCTAGTCGGTCTCAGCATAAGCCTCGGATGCGAGTTCACAAGGGGTCTAGGGGGGTTTCACTCTATAGGGTTTGGGCTTTAGGCTTTGGGGTTTACAAGCATAAATACCTAACTAAAGCTAACTATTGTAAATATCAGAATAACTGATTACATCAAGTGGCTTTCTTGGCTGCGGCTTTGGCTTCATCAGCAGACAGTCCCTGCTCTTCTGCAGTTTTGCGGGCTTTGTGGTATGCGATGCTTTTGCGGCTTTTTTTTTGCTTTCATTGCTGCAACAGCATCATCATCATCCTTTGTAGTTGCTGCGATCGTGTCTGCTTTTTTGCTCGCTGCTTTGCCCTTGGGCTTTGGCTTCTTGTCCCCTTGCTGCTTGGGCTCCTCGGCCTTCGGCTTCACGGTTTTTGCTTTGGGCTTTTTTGGGCTCTTCTTAGCCTTCGGGCTCAACTTAGCCTTAGGGCTCGCCTTAGCCTTAGGCTTCCCGGCTCCCTTCGGCTTGGCTTTGCATGCGTGGGCAGCTGGCTCGTCGTCTTCGTCGTCGCCCCGACCCCCAAGCTTTCTCTTGGGCCCACCAGCTTTGTCCGCCTCGTCCATTGCATCGGGCTTCTTCGTTCCCCGGCCTCGCCCTCGGCCCCGACCTCTTCCACCTCGGCCCCGACCTCTGCCCCGGGACTTGGGAGCTTCGGCAGAATCCTCGTCATCCCCATCGGCTTTGCCCTTCTTGGGGCGAGCCAGCTTGTTCTGCTCTGCCGGCGAAATAGCCGCCAGACCATCCAGGATTGAGGGGCGAACTCGATCACTTCGCCTCAAAGCTGGCTTGGAACCCATGCTGTCTGTGCCTGGAGCGATGCATTCGTAATGCTTTGTATGATCCTCGCAAGATTCGGGCTCTGTCTCTGTGCAGGATGCCTCTACCAAATTGGTGCTGTCGGCCATGACTGAGTCTTCGGGTGCTTCGGCGATGCGGCTCTCGGGCATGATGTCATCTGCTAATGGGTCTTCGGGTGCTTCGGCGATGTGGCTCTCGGGCATGATCTCATCTGCTCGGGTGTCTTCGGGTCCTTCTGCGATGCTGGTCTCTTGCTCGACTTCATCTGCTACGGTGTTTTCGGGTCCTTCTGCGATGCTGGTCTCGTGCATGACTTCATCTGCTGAGTCTTCGGGCCCTTCTGCGATGCTGGTCTCCTGCATGACTTCATCTGCTACGGTGTCTGCGGGTCCTTCTGCGATGCTGGTCTCGTGCGTGACTTCATCTGCTACGGTGTCTTGGAGTCCTTCTGCGATGCTGGTCTCCTGCATGACTTCATCTGCTGAGTCTTCGGGTGCTTCAGAGATGCCGCTTTCGGGCAGGATTTCGTCTGCTAGCAAAACCCCTGGTGCTTCTGCGATGCTTGCATTCAGCTCCTCTACCGTGGGGACGGGTGGGAACAGCTCTCTGCGAACATCTTGCCCATCCCCTTGCTTCTCGTGCACCACGACTCCGGGGCCGGAAGCCTGCTATTGCGATTATGAAGTACACCCCCAGCTTAGTCTGGGTTTGGGATTCATGGGTTAAGTAGCAATATCTAGAGTTTAGGGCCAGGGTTTAAAGTTTAAGGCTTTAGAGTTTTAGGGTTTTAAAAGCCATAGGGTTTTAGAGCCATATCCAAAAACCCCGTGCCTTCTCCATAGACCTCTCAGCAGCAAGCGAGTCGGCAAGGTCGTACGGCAGCGTATCCTGGTGATCGGCCCCTGGGCTGAATGAAGGTGGGCTTGGAAGGAGTTTAGGGTTTAGGGTTTCCGACTGTTGGGGTTCAGGGTTTTAGTTAAGATTTCAGACAGACAAGTAGCAGGACAGGGGGTGGCTTGCCGGCAGTCCATCTTGATCATGCAATGCAGCCAACATCTCTGCAAGCTTCTGCTCTTCTGCCTGAAGAGCTAACAACCTCTGAAGCTCTTCAAGAATAGCCCCCTGCTGCTCCAGCTCCTCAGCCAACTGCAACTGATCAAGATCGTCGGCCAATAGTCCTGGGTTGCGTGGGCGATTTGAGCCTTGAGCTTTTTTTGAGGATTAAAGGTTTTCATATTATGGGTTTAGGGTTTAGGGTTTAGGGTTTAGGGTTTAGGGTTCATGGGTCTTAGAGCATCAAGTCGAGGGACATCTTAAGCGTGGGTGATTTGAGCCTTCAGCCTTTTGGAGGATTAGGGGTTTTCATATCTAGGTCTTAGAGCATCAGATCCAGGGAAATCCTAAGCCTAGGCATTGGGTTAGGAGCAGGGAGCTAAATTAAAAATTTAGCCCTTTCTATGGTCAACGACTCAAGCCTTCAAAACCAATGCTCAATTTGTACTCGGATCCCACTTTGGCATCCTCAGACGAAGCTACAGCCACTGAAGAAGCATCGGACGGGGGCGTAGCGGGAACCGCTTTGCCACTCCCATAGGGGCAAGGCTTCACCCAAGGATTATCCCCCGAGCTCAAGCTGGAACCGCTGAGCCTGCGATCCTGCAAGGCACTGCCGTTCTCCGGAGCCATGCCTGGGATGCTGAGAGGCGGGAGCTATGTAATATTAATAAAGCGGTCACTTCTGATTATCTGCAACAAAGACACTCAAGCTTTCGCAATCTACTTCAGGATCCTGCTCCAAGCAGATATATTGGGTTTGATTGCAAAACACACAGGGCTGGGCGAACAAACAAACCGGGCCTCCTCAAAAACGGCCTCGCTTTCGGGGGCTTCGGTAGAAGCTTCAGCATCTGAAAGAGAATCGAAGCTGCGATCTCCTGGGCATGTTGGGTGTGCTTCTTTTTCAGAAGGTTTCTTATGCATATTTTGCATGCATCGATTGCATCCGAAATACTCGGGTTGGGAGGAAGCGGGATCGATGCTGCTGACCAGAGTTTCTGAACTGCTCGTTCCCGGGGGTAGTGGCCACGTTTTGCCGATCGGGAAAAGATCGACACGAGCCTTCGGAGGGCCCAGCTTTGTGCATGCACCACGTCACCTTGACTGAATGTGCATGCCCCAGAAACTATGATATGATTACTCGCACAAATCTATTACGATCAAATGATTGCTGCAAAGGATCGCTTCACTGCTGCCATGCCCATCGGGCGAGCACAGTGAAAAAAACTTTGGACCTCGTTCCGAATGGAGTGAACCGAAGGTCTCATCCCGTGGAATTTAATCAATGGAGCGAGCACCTCCACATTGAGAATCACATCCATCCGTGACAAGTAATCCCGAGGCAGGATGCAAATGCTGCTGGCGGAGGCTCTATTGAGAATAACCTTATTCTCCATCCAAGCCCTCACCACTGGCGAATCCATCGACACGGGAAAGCCCAAGGCCCTCAACCCAAAACCACCACTAACTAGCTACCTGAAGCTTCGGATGAAAAGCCGCAGTATGCCATCAAAGATCGGTCATCATGTGCAATCAATCGAACTGAAAACTCTGATGCAATTGCAAGGAGGGGGTAGCACCTTCTATCTTGTAGAGGATGTGCACCGAAAAGTCGCATTGTACCATGTGAGGATGTGCATCGAAAAGTCGCATTGTACCTGTGGCGGCAGGTGGCTTCGAACTTCGACTATGACTACGAGCTCCCGATGTGCACATACACGCAGATTCAGCCAAATTGAGCCAAAACCTTAATTATATACACCTTAAACCCGTGACCGGACCCAAATCCCCTAAATCCGGGGGCACCGGCCGATCTGCTTCAAGGCTGTGCCATCAGCTTGCATCGCTTGGGCTTACTTATCTATCTATATATATATATATATATAGGGCTCTATTTAGGTCCTATCTCTCCTTCTAATCTAGTTATCTCTCTCTTTCTGGGTTTAAATATATAAATATGATCGAACATATAATAGGCTAGCTTCTCATCCTAGCCAAAGATAGACTATAGGGAGCAGGCCCAGGTTGTGGAGTTTAGGGTTTAGGGTTTAAGGTTTAGGATTTTTATCAAGTGATCCTGCTCACGACAATCCAGCAAAAGCGGGTTGTGGAGTATAGGGTTCAGGGTTTAGGGTTTAAGGGTTTAAGGTTTACATTTTATCAAGTGATCCTGGGCTCACGACAATCCAGCAAAAGCGGGTTGTGGAGTATAGGGTTCAGGGTTTAGGGTTTAAGGGTTTAAGGTTTACATTTTATCAAGTGATCCTGGGCTCACGACAATCCTGCAAAAGCTGCTTGTGGAGTATAGGGTTCAGGGTTTAGGGTTTAAGGGTCTAAGGTTACGATTTTTATCAAGTGATCTTGGGCTCACGACAATCGAGCAAAAGCTGGCCGGCCGACGGCCCAGCGTCACGATTCTGCTGTCATCCTTGCGATAGATAAGCAAGATTTCTCATCACACCCTCGATCCTGGTTATCGATCTGTTAAAAACAAGAAGCGCTCGAGACTCCAATAAAGCGCTCGAGGCAAAGGAGAAGAGTAACA